CAAAAATCCTAGTTGGAGTATTTTTTTTAAAAAGTTCGAGAAATCGTTTGAGTCAAAGCAAAAATTATAAAACTCAGATGACACCATTTTTTTTAGTAGTGGTCAATGCATAGCATGAACCATTACTTCTTGAACGTATCATACAAAGTACACGTCACCATGAGGGTAAGAATTGTAAAATTAAATAAAAATTATATAGTACATACGTTTATTAATGTATGAATGAATGATTAAAGCTTGCGTTTTGCATACATACATGATTAAAGTAGAATTGGTGTTTGTTTATTAAAACAATAAAGCGTCATTAGCGACCATTAGTCATTGATTTTGTCAATCTTTTTCTCTTTTTCACTCGACATAGTTCATTACCTCCCATGCCCGTTTATTTAGTTTGGGTGGGCTTGGACCTATTTCAAAAAGGAAATATGATGTGGGTCATGTTTGGTAGAATATTTCTCTTGGAAAATGCTACAAAAGTTTCAAGAGATACAATTAAAAATGAGAAACTCGTAAAAAAAAAAAAGGTTCTAAAGATGGTCACATTTGTGACTACCTAATAACAATTTTGTTACTTAATAATTAATTAAACATACCAAAATCACAATAACAAACAATTAATTGTCACAATCACATATCACAAATTGTATAAGGTCATAGTCACAATAACATAAATTGTGGGTCACAATTAAAAATTTAATAGCAAATCATACATTTGTTTATGTTACTTTCTACAAATTACATATTTTATTTGTTACATTCATCCAAATAAACTCTTATCATCCTATTCCATCCATCCTACTCCATCTCACTCATCCACCATCGCAATTGTCTCCATCACTTTCTCAAATCCATCATCGCCTCCATTACACCAGCACCATCACTAGCGCCAACACCTCCACCTCCACCTCCACCTCCACCTCTACCTCCACTTCCACTTCCACTTCCACCTCCACCTCCAACGCACCACCATCACCCCATTATGAATACACGCACAACTAAAGATGCAACACGACCTCCTCCTCAAATTCACCATACCTCCACCATAATCACTACCAACACAACATTACCCCATCACCTCCTCCTCCAAATCTACACCTCATGTACAAACATCATATGATCGCCATCTCGAATCCTTAACTCACCACCACTGTCACCGCCAACCTCTATTCTGCTTTCCACACTTCATTTCCATCTTCCACCAACACAATATCGACTTTGACGATGACTAGTATAACGATGGAAGGAAGTAGAGTTGTGGTAAGGAGGCATATGATATTGATATGACCTTAGCCGCATCCAAATTTGGAGAAGGTGTTGAAGACTTACGAGATAATTGAGAGGTTTCAAAGAGAACAAAGGCTTCAACGTCGAGTGAAGAGTCGTAGGACCGTGATTGCACTCAAGCTGATGTCCATTATAACCTTCAAACACTGATTTTCGATAGTAGTTACAGTAGGGCTGAGTTTAAATCTGTGTGTAACTAGATAGATCTAGGTATGGCAGCATCAGTGGTTGACTGTAGATCTAGAGAGGAAGGTGGTCGTGGCAATGCCGAAAAGGAAGGTGACAGTCGACGTTCATGGGGTATGGGTCGTGAAAGTGGCGGTTCACTGTGACCTTTTTTGAGTTGAAAATGTTTACTATTAGTATGGTATAGAATGGGGGTGGTGTGGTGTGGTGTGGTGTGGTGTGGGTTGAATAGGGGTGGAGTACATCTGATTTTTGAGACAATAATTTTATGATTCGATTATCAAAATGAAAATAAACGTGAGTGTATTTTTCTCTTCGTAGCTTGACTCAACCTCCTCCACACCTCATCAAATCTTATCCACAAAATAAGCGAACATGACATTAGTGTATTAGTTACATTTTTATTAATTTTTACTCCCAAAAAAATGAAAAAAAAAACTCCAATTCATGCCCATGAAAGGGGAAAAAGAAACAATTATACATACAAGTGACTTCTCATTATTGATTCCGTTCGCCGACAGTTTAATTCTTGTCCGAAATGTTAGATCCACAATGGATGGCGTTTGTCACGTATTGAATTATTATGCTAAAGTCGTGAAATATAAGAGTGGACATAAATTTCTTTGAAAAAAGTTGTTATATAACGGTTTTTTTTAATAAACAGTTGATATAAGTAATTACTACAAAAATCCACTTTTAATAACGAATTTTTTATCATAATGAGTCATTATTTGCTTGTTCGTCGATAAAAGATTGGCGGAAGACTTTGCAAAACAGAAGTTTAACCATTATCCCCATCTCTCTCTCTTCTAGCTAAGCTTTAAGATTCTAAATTTATATTTTACTATTTTTAGAGGGTGTTTGGTGATAATTAAAATTAAATTTTTAGTAAATTGTGATAGAAATTTTTGAAATATGTGGTTGAAAAGTTGTGGGACCCATGAAAGATGTTAATATTGATCGTTTAACTTTGACTTGGATTAAAATCAAATTTTAATCCGGAACAAACATGAACTTAACTTTTATTGAGACAAATACTGAATAATACAATATTTTCAATAAATATATTTACATATATACATGAAAATTTAGATGTACGCAGCATAATAAATAAATTATACTATAAATTAAAATTATATCTGTTATCGAATAGTATTCTAATGATCATAAATCTAACATCTGCATACGTATAGTTACTCTCCTATAATCGTATTTGATCTCCTAAGCACGGTGCTTATGAGATCATTACTCCTCCTTTGATATCAAATATGAACATCGAATCTCTTAATCGTGGGATAAATTATGGATGATAGAAGATGAGAAGTAGAAAGAGCAAAAAATAAAATGCTTCCACCTATAGTATAAAGAGATTGTTAAACGACTTGTCTCGATTTGAAATTCTTCTCGATGAAAAAATATATTAATTAAATAATTTACAGCGTCTCATTTTACTAGTTTGCTACGATACCATAACGTTCCTAACAATCCAGTCGTTCAGGTGAACCTTCCATTATTATTGCTAAAAATAATTAAGTTGCCCCAGTGAAATAGTTCAAGAGAGAGAATACATAATTAATACAAAAATAACAATATTGAATTATCAAGATAACTATAAAATATGAAAATTAGTATATTAAAACCCTATTTGATTTAGTAAAAAAAATTGATAAAAATTTAATCTAAAATTAATAATTAATAATTAATTCTAACCATATATTTTATAGTACCATAAAATTTATCAACTTCTCAATTAAATATTTAATAATTTTTATCAAAATTTATTAAAAATTTAATTTTTAGCCAAATGGGGCCGCTGATTAGACCTGGGATTTAATCCTGTGACAAGTTTGCATGGCTTTGATTAATTTTTTTTTTTTAATTATAATCTGGTGGGTTGACACAGCAGATCTCTACAGGTAAAGAAAGAAAACATAATTTAATTACACGCAAATCAGAATCCAAAGTCTTTACGTAGGCCATCGACCATCCATCTAAGTGGTACCCATGTCGTTCAATGTAATAGAATACACAGAAAGCAGCGTGAAAATACACACAGATAGATACTCCATGAGAGAGACAGTATAGTCTGTCGTCTCTCTCCTCCCCCATCTCTGTCCACCGAATAGCTTTCCTCTTGGGAATCAGTAAAACAGACCTCTCCTTTTGAAACATACCCCAAGATTTTTTTCTCCTTTTCTTCAAAAGCACCGCATAAATTTTTGTGAGCAGCTACAAGTATGTTTTGAATTTGTTCTGTGAATATAATTGCAGAACATTAGATCTCTTAATGCTCCAGGTAATTTCTAGTTAAAGTTTTGATATTTTGCTCTTTCTGGACTCATTTCTTGAGAAATATATGTGTGAAGTTCTTTAGAGTTAGCTGTATTGACCTAATGTATGTTAATGCCTTTTGCATTTGTGTAAAAATTAAAATATAAGGCCTTTTTTTCCTTGGTTAAACAATCTGAAAAATGAGTGTTTTTTTTTTGAAATCGTATTAATTTCTTATTTTTCGATAAATCATTTTGATTGAGTTTTGTGTGAATGTAGTAGCTTTGCAATTCATCTACTAATAATAGGTGGATGCATAACAGAAAGAACCTGGCTTTGTGCTAATTTGACTCAATGAGCAGGAGCTTCTTATGTTTAATTACAAAAATGAGTAAAAATAAAAGAAAATGCAAGATCAACTTCATTTCAGAACAGATTTCTTGCTGTGTACTTATTTTAATATTCTGTCATTATCTTCTGGGCATGAATTTGAAAAAGAAATGAGGTTTTTAGATAACAGTTTGTCTTCCTAGATGAAGCTGAAATTGGCAAAAGAAGTTAATAAACCTTTTTATTTATAGGATTTGTTGATTTAATAATGTAGAGACCAACTTAAAATTTGGGCTAAAATTTATATGTATGTTGTGTATAGATGTTGGTATATTGGATGGGAGCTAAGGGATCTTCGGATCTTCCTATGAGAAGGAATTTGGATTCACATTTTAAAGCCCTATTTTTATTCATTCCAATTTCTGAAATCGAATTTGCAGTTTGGAAAGTTGATTTTTTGTTGCAGATTTTGTTGTTAGATACTCGGATAAAATAGGTTCTGTTCTGGATTGTAAATATTTTGATGAAAGCTTGACTGAGTAATAATGGCATGCAAAAATTGTATCCATCTTCTCAAATTATACATTCATTGTTTTGTAATGTAAGACTAGCTATTTTTGGTAAGTGTGATTATCACGTTGTGCGGATGTTATGATATTCACACCTACTTTCCTTATATATTTGCTAGAAGACGATTTAGGAGGTCGTCGGCTCATGTTACTAGATTTCTTGTTCATTGTTGCAGGTACAGGTTTTGGATGATCTGATGACATGAATAAGAGAAAAAGATGAGTGCGAGTAAAAAGTGCAAAATTTTGGATTACTTGTAATGTTGGAAGGCCTAATGCTATATCACTAAATAATATAAGATCAAAAGGCTTTCCGAGCCTAAATCCGTGTGATTCATCGATAGAAAGCAGGTCCAAGTGATGGGTTCTTTTTCTCATAATTGTGAAATTGTCGAAGCAAAAGACGAGCCAAATACAATGCTACAACATCAAAAATTTCGTCAAGTAACAGCGCAAGATGCGGAGCGGAAGCCTCCAATCCTTAAAAAAGGATCTAATAAAACTCTGGAAGATGATATCAATAAGCTCTTTGAGGCAATTGATCTGAGAACGTGCAAGAGTCTGGATCTCTCCGACTCGCGAAGAAATTCCTCTAAGAAACCAATGAAGGTCGCTGGGTCTCACTCACCCGGAATTGGATTTTCGGAGCCCGTGTCTTTGAAGCAGGCACTTAGGGGACTTTGCATTTCTCAAGCAGCAGAAATGGCTGCCTTGAGACGCTCATCAATGCCATCGGCATCACCTAGGGTCTCAGAAGCTAGTAAAATTACAAATTTGTACAGGACTGTTGTAGTTGAACCAGGGGAATCTGATTTTCCTCACTTGGGAAGTCCTGCAGTGAAATCAGCAAATCAAAGTGCCCATTCTTCTCCTCATCTTGGTGTTAAACCAATATTTAAGAGTGCAGGACCTACTTCTGGTGAATCTGATCAGCCCCTGACTGAATATAGGGGAGATGGTATCAGAATATCCCCGGTGCTAGAGGAAAGCAGTGCGTGTTCTTCAGAGAAGCTACCTCGATACATTCAAGAGCCTAAGATGAAGTCAGCAAACAAAAGTGACAATTCTTCTCCTCGTTTTGGTACTAAGCCAATCATTAAGAGTTTAGAACCTAATTCTGGTGAATCTGGTCATCCCCTGGCTGAATGGTCGGGGGATAGTGTTGGAAGATACCTTGTGCAAGAAGAAAGCACTGCATGTGGTTCTAAGAAAATGCCTCAATATCAAGAGCCTGTGATGAAGTCAGTAAACCAAAGTGCACCTGCGTCTCCTCAGTTTGCCATTGAATCTTCTTGCAGGCATAATGATAGTGCACCAGTATCGACAGATGTTGAAATCCAAGAAATGGAAGCAGGACCCTGTCAGGAGGAAATCAACATGTCAATCCCTTCTCTACCTTATTGTAATGCTGATTATAATGTCCCAAAGAGAGACAAGAACTTTACCGGATCAAACAAGGTTGTGAGGGGTCCAAGTAAATATACTTCTGCCTCCATTAAAGTAGCAAGTAAAGCGGCGCCTAAGCTCCGGAGGAAAGGAAGGTTGCAGACTTTACCATTGTCAAGCACGGTGAAAAGCAGTAGGGATGTCAAGTCAACAAGAAGCACTTCTTGTCCTGTCAAACCAGCTGTCCGCAACAAGAATCTCATTGTAAAGAAATCAAAGAAGGTATCAGTGTCAACAGCTGGAAATTCTTCTGCATCATATGATGTAAGCAGTGCTTTGGATCACAATTCTGGCCTATTAATCTGTCAGAGGTGTCAGTGTTCTTTGAAGGACACAAAAAATGAGTCTCATAAGGACAACCCAGTAACTACCGTTGCTGAAGTGAATACAAGTAGTAGGAAGTATGATGCAATCAAATCGGACTTCATTCCAAATGGCTGTGAAGTTGGTATCACTCCCTTGGCGAAAACTAACATGACCTCAAAATATAAAGAGAAAGGAGAACTTTCCCAAAGCTCAAAGAGCAGTATCTGTGATTTTAGTAGTAGCACTACTAGTCTCAGTGAAGACAGCAATCTAAGTGGGTTGAGTTGTGGCAATAGACCGCATATGTCTAAGAATTTGAGGTGGGAAGCGATCAACAATATAAGAAAACAATATGGATTCCTAGGATTGAATCACTTTAATTTATTAAAAAAGCTTGGTTCTGGGGATATTGGAACAGTTTATCTGGCTGAGCTGATAGGAACGAACTGCTTATTTGCAATAAAGGTTATGGATAACGAGTTCTTGGCAAGAAGGAAGAAAATGCCTAGAGCCCAAACTGAGAGAGAAATTCTGAGAATGCTGGATCATCCATTTCTCCCGACTCTGTATGCCCAGTTTACTTCTGACAATTTGTCATGTTTAGTTATGGAGTTCTGTCCAGGTGGAGATCTACATGTCCTCCGACAGAAGCAGCCTGGCAGATATTTTCCTGAACAAGCAGCAAGGTATGAAATTTAATCTCCGCTTGTCGCATCTTGCTTATTTGCAACAGGAAAAATAATGAACAACAATAGTAATGAGGATTGTAACTTATGCTACAAGTTTTATCTGTTAGTTCTATGCTTGACTATTGAAATTTTAATGTGCAATATTATAGAACTGGTGATCAGTGCCTTAAATTTCAAAAGAAACCAATTCTTTATTTCATTTTAGTTAAGAGTGTTGAGTGTTTGCCTTTGTATTTACCATAATTGGTGCAGTTACATTTTTAATAAACATTTATTAGCTTTGGCAATGAGCTGGCAATCGTGAAAATGATATTAACAAGATTCTCAGGCTAGTCAAAATGGATTATCATCTAAACGACTGCACGTTGAATGTAGCTTCTGAGACGACGCAAATAGAAGTTTCTTTTCGCAACACAGATGAAACTAAGTCAAATGCGTAAATTGTGTGACCTTTGAAGTGTTTCTTTGAGTTTCTTGTCCACTCCTGAATATGGTGCAGACCTGTAATTAAAAGAAACTCAGGCCCACTTGAGGAACTGATTCATTATGTTTCCTAGTTGTATTCTTTGCTTATAACTCTTCCGTATTTGCAGATTCTATGTTGCTGAGGTCCTACTTGCTCTTGAATATTTGCACGTGCTTGGTATTGTGTACCGAGATTTGAAACCTGAAAACATTATGGTCCGAGAAGACGGTCACATCATGCTAACAGATTTTGATCTGTCACTTAGATGTTCTGTTAACCCGACCCTCCTTAAATCTTCTTCATTGGGAATGGAGCCACCAAGGATATCTGGTCCTTGTGCGGGGTCTAACTGTATTGATCCTTTCTGTGCTGGACCTTCATGTCAGGTTTCATGCTTTAGCCCTAGGATTTTACATGCCAGTGCAAAGGCAAGGAAGCAGAAAGCCGAAGCTTCTGCCCAGGCTAGATTGTTACCGCAGCTCGTGGCTGAGCCGACTGAGGCAAGATCCAACTCATTTGTTGGTACCCACGAGTACTTGGCTCCAGAGATCATTAAAGGAGAAGGTCACGGGAGTGCAGTCGATTGGTGGACATTTGGTGTTTTCCTGTACGAACTTCTGTACGGGAAGACACCCTTTAGAGGTGCTGGTAACGAGGAGACATTAGCCAATGTGGTGTTGCAGAATCTCTGGTTTCCCGACAGCCCAATTGTTAGTTTTCAGGCAAGAGATCTCATCAGAGGTCTGTTGGTGAAGGAACCTGAGAAACGGTTGGGGACAGAGATGGGAGCTGCCGAGATCAAACGACACCCATTCTTCGATGGACTAAATTGGGCACTGATACGCTGCACCATTCCACCTCAAGTTCCCGAGTTCTATGATACTGGAATTTCCAAAACAGCAGAGGAGGAAAAGTATTTGGAATATAGTGCTACGGGAGAGAACTTACAATTTGAGTTGTTCTAGCTAGAACATATTTGTTGGGAAGAAAATTAGTGTCTTGTAAGCTTTAGCCACCAATCCTTGTAAGTACATCCTGCTTATAATGTATATTGTTGAGAGTACCGCCCAAAGTTTATCTTTCCGGGCATGGCACTGGAAAGCTATATTATTGTGACAATTTAGTCCAAAAACGCATCTTTCATGGTTTTGCATGATATTCAGTTGAGTCGATTCCTCAAAAGAGTTTTTATACTCCGCGTTAGTACCTTTGCTATACAGTATAAGACTATGTTAAAGAAGAAAAATAAGATAAAATTCGTCCACCCAACTTTAACTATACATTTACTCGTGAAATTCTTGCTTGCTAGAGTCCTTTGGCTACGTCATTTAAGGGTTTGTTTGGCAAAATTTTAAATAAAAAGTCGAAAGCTGCTTTTAAGATTAAGAAACTGCTTTTGAACAATAATTTTTTTGGAGTGCTTGGTGTGATGAAGAAGCTTTAAAAGGAAGTTGATATAAGGTAGATGAAGAAGCTCTTGTATAAGTGGAAACGAAAATAGAAATCATGCAAAGAATAGAGTCCTTCGTATGCTAATTTGAAAGAGGTACTTCCTATGGAGATGGCGATGTGGCCAATTTTCTGATTTTTATTTGTGCTATGAAAAAATTAATAAAAACTTCATGGATATTAACAGAAAGTATTTATTCTCTAATAATTAGTACTCAATAAAATTTTAAGTGAAATTAACTTATCTAACCCTGTTTGGTGGTTTTTAGTTTACTTTAATTTATTTTATGCTTATTTTCGAACATTAGTCAGAGCTAAACGTGTGTTACACGTTATTTTGAAATTTTTTATAAGCGCTGTAAAAATTATATTTGAAAATCAGTGAGCATGAAAAATAGTTAAAAAAAAATTTCATGTGAAATGAACTTTTTATACAATTCAATTATTTATTTACGTGTGATAATAATTAACATTAATTTTTATATATCCTACTATAATCCAATCAATTAATTCTTCAAGTTCATGCACGTACACTTTATATATTTTGTGGGCTATTCAATTACTCTAAAAATACTACAATTCAATTATTTTAGGAGTAAATAAATTATTCAAGTTCATGAACACGCATTTATTTTTAAGATTATTCATTTTATCATAAATTATTCTAGAGTATATAAATTATTAAAGATCATATAATTTGGAAACTATTCAATTATTATAGGAGTAGATAAATTATTCAAGTTCATGCACACTTATTTAATTTCAATATTATTAATTTAATTCATGATATAACGTCATTTGTCTGAATGTATATGTATATAAATTATTCTTTTTCTATGCACTCCCTTTGTTTATATCTAATGAGTACAGGTGCTCATCTTATCTTAATCACCAATGAGTTGGCACATTAATTCATTGGTGGATTGGAACTACAGAAATGATCTAATGAGCACCGGTGCTCATCTTATCCTAAACACC